GTGAATTTTTGCCGGTGTTTAAAAAAGTAATTTTTTTTACAGTTGTTAGTGGATGAACTAAAAAAAGTAAAGCAGAAGAATACTCTACAAAAGGATCGATTGAAAGAAGCAATTCGAAAAATCGATAATCAAGAAAAGTTTGTGAATTTCATCTTTTTTTTTGATTTGTTTGGTCACCTTAAAAGAATACTTCTCTGTTTTGTGCGAATAATTATTTCCGGGACCAGGTATCGATGCTGAACATACACCAATGACATCTCAAAACAATTAAAATCTTGCCAAGTGCTTCTGTTGGAGGAACCGTTTAAGCTAGTAATCTCTTTGGAAGGAGAGGGAAGGGGGAGAGGATAGGGGGAGGGAGGTCTAGCAGGCTGGTCAACAGATGAAAAGTTTCGGTCAGAGTAGGTGGGAATGTTGCCAGTTGCATAATTTGAAGATCTGATTTATGTTCTTAATTACGATCTTAATTTCTTAATTGCGATTTTTATTCACGATTTCACGATTTTCTTAATTATGTTCTTAATTCTTAAGATCCTCTGATTTATGTTATTCTTAAGATTACAATTCTTAAGATTCATAATTACGATTTGTGTTTGATTTATAATTACGATTTGTTTGTTTCAGATTACACTTCTGATATAATTCTTAAGATTACAATTCTTAAGATTCATAATTATGACTTGTATTTGATTTATGTTCTCCTATTAATTAATGGGCAACCAGCATTTTTTGGAAGTTAAGCGGCGCATATTAGATTGTCATACCGATTTTCTTTTACACTGAGATTACTGCCTAGCTAATTTAGTAACTGCATGAGGAGCGCAAGACGAACCCACCACCGGTATAATCCCTCTACGAGTGAGTAATTGATCCGATTCGATGACAGACTCTTCCGACCTTCAAATTTGCATTTTTTCAAAGAGCGAGCATTCACCGGAAAAACGACCGAGCATGTGTTAACTCACTGGCAATTTTAGGCCCGTTCGTCCTCTCCCAATTTACTAGCCAGGGAGGATATTCACTATTTATACCTGTAAAAATTTCTACAACACATAAATTGATACTAATATCTACCATTTGGCTTGCACTTTCAAGCTTTCGCTTTTAACGTGTTGTTTGGTAGGGTTGCTCCAATTTATTAGGCAAATTAGGGTTACTTTTCTTCTTCACATGACACACTGTTTTTGGGCACATGTTCAACACCACTGTCTTCTTCACCCTATTATATTTCCCTCCCGCTTCCAATTTAATAAAATCCACCGAATTTAGGATCGACTCCGTCTTATGCACGGCCTAGCTAGACTCTAACATCCAGTACCGGTTCAGCCCTTACTTTCCTACAGGGCCCAAACGACCCGTGGGATCTTTGACTTATATACGTGGTTAGGTTTTACTTGTATATGCCCACTTCATTTCAGCCCATATCCTTTGTTGCTTGTTCGGAAACATTTTTGTATTACAGGACGCAAGCGGATGTGGATCGTCGTAAAGCAGTGATTCGTGAAATTCGTCATGAAAACAATGAACGCATGCGTCAAGGACTTCCACCAATTTTCAAGACAAGAGGTTTGCGTAGAAAAAATCTCCTTGCTTTAGGATTTTTCGTCCATTTCCCCGCTTTTTTTAAAAAATTTAATTTACTTTGGGATAAAAAAGGCCAGCCTTTTCTTTGCTGTTGGGCTGGAATTTGATCTGGCGTCATTTAAGGACTGTTTTTTGATCTCTCAGGATATATGAGGCATTTTTTACCTCTTCCTCGGCGTTCCCTCCCTCTCCTTTTATCTAAAAGTTATGTGCCATCAGATCGTATCAGGAATGGTAACGTAAATTTCTTCTTGAACTTTTCGTAATTTCTAAAGGATACAAATCAGATTTATCTAAGCGGCTTTCGAAAAAGAGGGATCTAACGAAAACCTTGCAAGCAGGGGGTTGTTGTTAGCACTTGTTACTTCTCAGCTTACCCTATTGATTGCCTTACATGTCATACGGTTTGGACCACATTAACGACCTCACTATCTTTCCTATCATATTTCATTAATTAATTCTCCCCTCCTCCCTCCCACTAAAAAATTTTTTGGATTTCGGCCGCTCTGTCTTTTTATGGTTTGAACTGGGTATTGCTTCAGAACGTTTGGTTCGGCCTATCAATGGCCAAAAAAAATTTTCAATTTCACCCAGTTCGGCCGCCTCACTTGGACTGTCCATTTTTCATTCGGCCATCTAATGACTCTTATATTAGTTTAACATCTCTAGATTATTAAAATTGGGTAAGAAGTTTTTGAACTATAAATTTTATACTGGCACGCATGGTACTGAGGTTTTTATTACCACCCCTCATCTGCCAAAAATCCCTGACATTCCCATTCGGAATGATCACTTCTTGGTCGGGCCTCTGTGGCCCTTTCTTCCCTACCTATTCCCTTTACATGGACGGTTAATACGCAAAGGGCCTTTCGACTTTGAAGACTGCAACAGAAGTGTAATGATCAATGATTGCCTTACATGTCACACAGTTTGAACCACATTAACGACCCCACT